ACTATATTTTTTAATTTTAAAGTAAAGATGAACAATTATCTCAAATATATTATTACAAAGGAACACACTAACATTAGTTATAAACTTTAAGAGGTCTTAAACTCCTGAAGCAGGTATTTTTCAATGACTAATTTTTTTTTTTTTTTTTTGGTCTTTTTGAGGCAGGGTCTCCCTGTAGCCTCAGCTGGCTTGGATCTCACTATGTAGACCACACTGGCTTTGATCTCACAGAGATCAACCTGCCTCAGCCTCCTGAGTACTGGAATTAAAGGCATGTGCCACCATGCTCGGCTTCAATGACCAATTTTTAAAAAAACATGTTTAGGTCTGTTTTTACATCGACTTGGCAAAGGAATGTACCTGTCAAACTTGTTTGTTGGCTTTAAAGAGGCAGTAGTTATCAAAGAAAAATGTCCTAAAATGCTTATGTTTATAAATATATAACATACATACAAAATATATCTAAAAAGAGAGATAAATGATCTTTCTGAATCCTTGGAATGAAGAGTTTACTATATTAGGAGAACATGTTATAAAACCACAATTGAGAAAAGGATAAAGGAGATAACACCTTGGCCAGACTTCAGTATATCTTGTCTTCAAAAGATTCTTTAACTATTTAAGCTTAAAAAGTCATGTTAAGATCTAGATTTTTTTTTTTTTTTAAATGTAGAAACAAGCCATGTCTGACTACGGTAAGATGAAATCTTAAAATGGTTTAATTTGCATTTCCCTAAAGTTTCTTGTGTTTCGGTTATGAACAAAGACTTCCTTTGCTGTGCTGAAGTTTGATTCTGTTTGTATTATTGACTCCCTTGGCTCCAGATGATTGCACATTTATGTCACTGACACTATTCTTTTCCCTACTGACTTTTGCACTCTTTTATTGGTCATGAGACCCCCCAAATATTTTCTCAGGTTTTGTAGATGAACACTCTTATTCTTTAGATGACGCAAGTACCAGCTCTTGCTTTTTTATTTTGCCAATTTGTTTCTATTTCTGTTTGACTCTGGAACTCCAGAGCAATAATGGAGCGCCTGGTAGAAAATACTGTCTGGGCCACTATTTGAATGGGAATGCTCCCAATATAAAGTTTCATTAAGGTTTTTCGTTTCCCATTTGTTGGAGACCAAGGTGGCTGGACTCAGGACAAGTTAGGCCTGAACTTTTGAGCAGGCTACGGCCTCTGCTAAAAGGGGAAAGCACTGAAAACAGTGTCTCACAGCCCTGTCATGTGGAACACTGCAATGACTAGCAAAAGGCAGCTGGCCAGGTTAAAAGTTTATAGTCTCTTTGTTCTGAGCAAAACATTTTGACTTCCTTGAGCTAGAGGAAAAACAGCCTAATCAAAACCACCAAGTATGTGTGTAATTAAAATGGAGACATCTTAGTTAATAAGCTCTGACACATTCCCTGGTCTTTTACAAACAGCCCTCTGCCCACACACAGGGATGGATAT